CCTGGTCTAGCAGGGGAATAGAAAACAGGGATAGAAAATCGTATGTTCTCAGTCATATTTTTACTTTTTGCAAGAAAGAGTGGTTTCTGAAGTTGAGGTTGGTAGGTGTTTATGTTCAGTGGCTGCTTATATGTAAGTGGCTTTTTCCTATCCAGAAAGGTGTACACCTGTGAAAGTTTAAACTTTACTTTATTGTCATTGCACCTCGTACAATGAAATCAAACGCCATCTTCAGTGCACATCATGACCATGAAAATAAACACAAACACACATACTTCACACTCCACACATTGAATTGAAAAACCCCAACACCACACCAACACTGCACTATACAGTAGAATTCAACAGAGCTACTGCCCTGGGATAGAAGCTGTTTTTCAGCCCAAACTTGCCTCCCCTATTAACTGTAACTCACTTCCTGTAGCCCTGACTGTGAGCTGTTGGTGTCAGCCTTCAAGATTTTCTCCCTTTGCTTTGCATCTTTCGGCTGTCATAAGTAATGGGGGGGAGGAGAGGGGGAAATTATGGGAAGTGAGCTGGAGGTGTTACAAACTAGAACTGTATAAACTGGGGAGGGGGAGTACATTCTTGCTTAGGGTTCTATTCCTTGCTTAGCTTTCTCTTCTATGCACAGCTGCAAACCTTTATCAAAATATGTCAAGGTCAACGGACAGAAGCCTCATCACCACCTGGAGATGTCCACATGATGATATTCACAACTTTTAATTGGAAGAACCATTTGAACTATTGGGGGTCGGAACATTGCCATTACTTTGTATATGTGATTTACACGCCCGTTTTCTCAGATTCAGAATTCCATTGATGCTACCACTTCATTTCCAGTAAAAGATATCTTTTCTCTGATTAACGGAGTCTAAGTATTTCTTTCTTGGATTTTGAATGGAGCACCAGCTGACAGTTGGACTCTCTGACCAAGTCAGTTCTCCCTTCTCCTTCTTTTTCTCCTCCCTCCCCCATCTCTCAGGGGTCGCTCCCTCCAGGAAAGCTTCATCAAGCTGGTAGAAGCCTGCAATGACCTTTCTCCCCACATGGACCGCTGGCTGAGCAGGCTGGAAGCCTCCAAGTGGTTGTCCCATGTCAAGGAAGCCTTGAATGCTGCCTGCCTGGCAGCCCAGTGCCTGGAAAGGTAGTATTGCATTTGGTCCTTCCTCCAGGCAGGGTCTGGAGAGGAGCGGTTTGGGCAAGTCCCCTCTGCACCTCAACCTTTTGGGGTGGGCTCATGTCAGGGAGACTGTCATGTCACCGGAAGCTCTGTGTCTTGCTCCAGAGAGGAGGCTTGTGTCCTGGTGCATGGAGCTGAAGGGAAAGATGCTACCTTGTTGGTGACAGCTCTTGCCCAAGTCATCCTGGATCCAGCCTGCAGGACATTGGTCGGCTTCCAGGGACTGCTGGAGCGGGAATGGATACAGGTACTAGCAGGAGCCAGTTCCAAGGGGATTGGCATGCTGGCTGGGGAATTCTGGGAAATGAGGTCCACACTTCTTAAAAATTGGCATGGCTGGAAAGCAAGAAAGTACATCTTTTTATCTCAATAGTTCCTAGCAGGGGTGGGATTCAAATTTTTTAACAACCGGTTCTGTTGGGTGTGGCCAGGTGTGACCAGGTGAGACCAGGTGACTGGGTGGGTGTGGCTTCTTTTTGCAGCACCCCCCCAATTTTTCCCTCCTGGGCCTCGGGGAAGCCTGGGGGGGGGGGCGTTTTTACTCCCAGAAAACGGAGCCCGGGGGAGCCTCGCCAGACCCCTCCATGCTCCATTTTTGGGTCTCCTGCGCCTCAGGGAAGCCTCCTGGGCAAAGCAGTAAGACAGCGAGGAGGATCCTGGCTGATTGTCAGAACAGCCGATCGTTGGGAGGGGAAAAGAAATACCCTAAGAAGTGACTGGGGCGGGGGAGAATGCATTCAGCAATGTCGTGCATGCGTGATAAGGACTGACTGGGAGGGGAGGGGAGGGGCCGGCAGAGAAGGGCGGGGCCAGCCAGGGGCACGATTCTCCGGTTCTCTGAACTGTGCAGAATCATAACAACCAGTTCTATAGAACCAGTCCGAACCGGTAGAATCCCTCCCCGGTTCCTAGTAGTAATACAGACAAGAATTTCAAAATTGTAATTGGGATTGTTAATTCTTTCTAAGCACAGGCATAGGGTATTTATGTTATACATTACTCATCAGATTCTAGTCAGCTTACAGGATGGAAGTTACAGATTCCTTAACCATGGCTTAGTGTGGTGTGATAGCACAGCCACTGATGATCATCAAGCCTCTGGCCCTCCAGATGTGGCTACAGTACAACTTCCATTTTTCCAAGCCTTTAATTCCTTGCTGGGAGTTGTACTTTAGAAATTTTTGTAGGACCTCAGACTCCCCATCTCATCCTACACAGAAAAACAGGCTGGTATGACCCAAGTGGACCTTTGGTCATAAGGAGGAACAGTTTAATTCTTACTGATATTTATGGGGTTCTTTGATTTGACTTCATTGAATTTTGATTCTTGTTGAAAGCATTGTCTCCTGCCCTTCCTTCCCTCCCCTTGCGTGTTACTGGTAGACGTGTGAAGGAGCAGAATATACCCTTTTCTGCTTCTAGCTGCCAACCTTTTTTGCTCTTACAGGCCGGGCACCCCTTCCAGCTCCGCTGTGCCCACTCTGCCTATGCGCACACCCGGCTCAAGCAAGAGGCACCCACCTTTCTCCTTTTCCTTGACTGCGTCTGGCAACTGGGGCGCCAGTTTCCCTTCTCCCTGGCCTTCAATGAGCATCTCCTGCTGGCACTCTTTGAACATTGCTACGCCTCTCCCTACAGCACATTCTTGGGCAACAATGAGAAAGAAAGGTAAAACAGGAGCAGGCCAAGGCAGGGGCAGGCAGGGTTGAGGGTGCCAGCTTGGGAGAGCAGGGTGAAACTAAGATGATTCCAAGATTCCCACTGAGGACTGGGCATTTTGTGCCAGTGAAGACTCTGCCTCCAGACTTGAAAGACATGGGGAGAGATGGCCTTGTACTTAATTTGGCCTCTTCAAATATCTTGGGTGAAGAAATCTGCAATCTTAGAAATCACAAGATACCCTAAGCAACCCCCCCCGCCCCCCACGAGAACTCTCCCTACACTTTCAAGAAATGAGTTGCACAGGATTTAACACCAGGAAGTGATGTTCTCGAGGAGAAAATCACCCTGGGAAAGTGGAATGGTTTCACTTGCAAGGAAGCCTCACAGCAGCCATTTTTGCAGGGAAGGGGACACCAAGATTTCAGAGCCTCCTGGCTGATGGTTCTCATCACTTCTTCCACAGAAATAGCTAAACAAACTGTGATAAAAACACTCGGGTGAGGGAGCCACAGAACCAGGGTTCAAAGGAACCTGCTGTCAGTTACCCCCATTTAAATCATGAGTCTCTAGCTGAACTTAAAGATTTATTAGCAGTAAACATGCCGGCACCACCTGGGTGGAGCCGACTTTGTGACACATCATTCATTGTCACCCTTGACCCTGGTTTTCCCCCACCCCCTGGGTGGATCATAATTCATATTCTCCAATGGGACATATCCATAGCCAAGAGTCATCCATCATACTCTCCACTTAGAATTTTGCGCGGCAGAAACTTCCATCACCTTAGAAACTATCTTTGAAAACATTTATGGAATGCAAGCTGCCCACTGCTCCCCACTCCCTTTTCGTTGGCAACTCTAAAAAGACCATAGAAATATTTTATGAGTTAACACCTGCAGTGTGTGGTCAAGATGGCAGTCACAGCAGTGGGATCAAAGCTCACCTGTTTGTGTACAACATATGTGTACTGCAGTTGGAGCTACAATCATACCTTTATGGTCACCACGTTGACTTTTTCCACCAGAATTTGTGGACATCCCTACCGAAGCTCTTTGCTTGTTGCTCCAGTTCAAGACAGCATTAAATAAAAACAAACCCAGGCTGGCTAGTCTTCCTTGTAGCTTGGAGCCCTATTCATAAAAAGCAATGTCTAATCCTGGTTTATTGATCCAAGTCAACTATGGCTACTGAAGGGAAATGTGCAGGTAGTTCTCGACTTATGAGAACTGGAATCAGAATTTCTGTGGCTGAGCAAGGTGATTGTTAAGTGAGTCACACCAGATTTTACAACCTTTTCTGCCACAATCAAGGGCATCACTAGTTAAGTGAATCATGTGGTTGTTAAGCGAACCAGGTTTCCCCGTTGATTTTGCTTGTCAGAAGCAGTTGGGAATGTCACAACTGTCAATCACATGATCCCAGGAAACTGCAAGTATCATAAATACATGCCAGTTGCTAAGTGCCTAAATTTTGATCACATGACCATGGTGATGATGCAGCTGTCATAAAAGTGAGGTGGTGGGCTGATTCCAGGGGTGGGATTCAACCAGTGTTACTACCAGTTCGGTGACTATGTTTTGCTAGGTGCGCGTGTAAAAAGACCCTAAGCTGTGCTGCCCAGACAGCTGAAAAGCACTGTGCGCAGAGTTTGAAAATCCTCTTTTTTCCTGCTTTTTCAACTTCGTCTGTGCCGCGCAAAGCAGCCGAGGTCGAAAAAGCAGGAAATAAAGATCAGGTAAGAGCCCAGGTGGGTTGGTGGGCAGGCAGGCCAAACAGCGGCAAACACAGAACCGGTTTGGTGTCTGCTGCTCTTCAGAGCTACTGGTTCTTTAGAACCAGGCAGAACCAGTAGCATCCCACCCCGGGCTGATTCGAACACACTTTGAGTGCTGTTGTAACTTTGAAACTAATGTTTGTAAGTTAAGGAGCATCTATAGTTGTAATTATTTCATGCTTTTACATCTCCAACAACCCCATTTGAATCAAGTTCTGCCCACAAGAGAGGACACCTCAAAGAAGGGGAGGGGGGGAATCTAAAAATGTTAGATTTCATTTGCTTCTGTCAAGTCTTCCCCAAATATCCAATTGTATTTTTGTGGAGCATTTGTCCCCCGTATCGGATTAATGTTGTATTCCTTCCCTAACACGGCGGGCTCCTGGTTGGATGCGATTGGGAAGTTGGCTAGAGACCTCTGGGAATCTTCGAGTTGCCCAGGCTGAAAGACAGTGCTCCATGACTACCCCAGTGAGGGACTAAAATGCTGCTGGCTTCCCTGCAGGCGGTTGTGTGAAATGAGGGAGAAGACCCACTGCCTCTGGCCCTGGATAAACCATGTGGAGAAGTTCCTGAATCCCCTCTACATGTACAACCCCCTGGCCATCTGGCCCTCCGTGGAGCCACAGAGCTTGGTGCTCTGGCAAGGTAGGGGAACCACCCACCATTCCTTTTTATCATGTAAAGTACAAACTCACATTATGAGTTTTGGAACAAAGCACTTGCATGAGAAAGACATCATGATTTGGATTAAATTAAGCCTTTTCAGATTTCAGAGTTTCATAGGCCAACATCGGCAAGATGGTTTGCTCAGTCTGGAAGTTTGAGTCACGGCGACTGAATTTTTCTTGTTAATTTGAGGCATTTTCTGCTCATCAAAGCAGCTTCATGAGTCAGAGCAAGCTGGTTACGCAGAGTCGTTGGCAACTCCTTCTGCACCAACCTCAGAGGTTTCTTCCCCCAAAGTGCATGGTAATAGGTTGAGGAAGACTTCCAGTCATCCAGGTAAAGTTGTCTGAGTTGAATCATGGCAACTGGACTTTTTTTTTTGTTGGTTTCAGACGTTCCATACTTTGAGGAGGAAACCTAAGGTTAGCGCGGGAGGAGTTGATACATTCCAAGGGCTCTCTGCCCATTCAGATTCCCCTAAGCAACTTGCTCAGGCTGAAGCTGAATATAAGCAGCGGGATAAGCAGTGAAACATCTCAAACCAACAACAAAAAAAGAGAAGCCTCACTTTTGTAAGAATCTTCATCAACCTGAGTTTGCTAAGGCTGAGGCGATAATTCCAGAGATTTTTTAAGAGGGCTGGAAGATATCTGAACATATGCGTTGCAGAATTTCGTAGAGCCCTTGCCTAAAATAGAGACCAAACATTTTGTTATTAAGCAAGACAACGTGTCACTTTTCCTGTTGCTTCCCCATTAATTTGCTTGTCAGCTGACTGGGAGTCACAGATGATGATTACCTGACCCCCTAGGACACTGCAACTGTTGTAAATACATGCCAGTTGCCAAGCACCCAAATCATGATTATGTGACTCCAGGGATACAAAACCAAATTATGATTATGTGGCTGCAGAGCCACAATATTCATAAGTACAAAAAATTGTCTTATCTTTTTTCAGAGATATCGTAATTTCAAATGTCTCTAATTGAATGGATGCAAGTCAAAGATTGCCTGTAATACAGAATCCACCTTACTAAAAACCTAACAGTTTCAAGAATTTCAACTGTCTGAACATTCAACTGTCTGAAATCACATCTGATGGTAGAAACTAAAACCTCACCCACCTACCCACTTTGCTGCTTATTTCCTTTACGTGCTTTTAAGAGATATATAAGTTCACTTATAAAAAACATGCCTAACCATTTTACCAAATCCTGGATCTTCAGAGGACTTCTCTTTAAAGCTCTCTATATCTAGATTTCAGAGTGAGAATTTCAATCTTCTGCTAAATACAGTATATTTGTAAACCTGCAGATTTGAGGGATATCTAAATATATCTTTTTTACATCTTAAATGTAAAAATAAGCAGTGTCATTATCAGCCCCAGTTCTTCTGGGGTAATGAAAGATTTGACTACACACACACCCAAGATGTTGGGGGCTGGAAGCTAAGTTAGTTTACTGTGAGGTTCTTTATAAAGAATTGCTGCAAAGATATAAAAGATTATTGTTTGTCCTTGTGAAAGAGATGGATAACTGGGCATTATTCTCCATGCAGGCTTATTTCTCCGCTGGGTCCATTCATCCTATCATCTTGATGAAGCATGGGCAGAAATTCGGCGAATAGCAACAAGTAGCCAAACCTATTCACCACAGTTGCACAGAGCAACGTGAAAGTACACTGCCACACCCTCTTTTTAAATGAAGAAATCAAATTGGCTGGTCACCCCAAAAGAGGAGACCTGAAAAACAGAGGAAGAGTTGCTGACACAGAAGGACAGAAACAAACACTTCGTCTGTGGCACTGAAAAGGCTGTGAACATGTAGATGTATTTCCCAAGCCCCTTTTTACAATACAGCTCTTTAAATCTATGTTTTAGATCAAGGAAATGCAGAACACCAGATAAATCTTCCTGGAATGAGAAAGTCATCTGGATACTCACATGTAGCACCCCAACTTGGAGCCAATAGCTATGCTTGGACAATAAAGCTGACATGGCTAAGCATTTTAAATGTTAATATTAGTTGAAGCCTAATCTGTGCTGGATGGGGAATTCTGCAAGTTGAAGTCTACTTTACCTAAAGTTGTTAAGGTTGAAAAATGCTGCTCTAACCCAATAAACTGATCCAATAATTTCACAATATCCTGTAAATCCTGGAATATGTAGAACTTGGGCTTTACTTAGCAAAACCACCAATATGGAAACCCCTGATGATAACACTGAAGCCAACAAATCATACACATGATGGAAACAGTATTAAAAATAGCAATGACTTGTACCTAATTAACACATTCATACATATTTCTTTTCATGTTATAAAGGAAGAATTTATTATCTGCATCTCACGTTATAAATAGGGCAACTGCAGCTGTTTCCAAGAGTGTACAAGTAGAGAGATTGTCCCACAGAGAAGCAGCAGCTGCAGCAGGCCATCCTTTACTTTGATTTGGCCCTGAAGCATCGCTCAGGACAAGCAAGATTTCCATCCTGCTGGAACTGCAAAGAGGCATCAGAGGACAAGGAAATAGCTGGATCAGGCTTCAAACTCAAATTCAAAGTACTGGGGGTCAAAGTAATGGATGCGGACGTAGCCATCCTCTCCACCACTGCTGTAACTAGAAGCAGAAAAAAAAAGGAGTGAAATTCTCTTGGGCTCTTGGTCCCAGTCTTGATGAAACCAGAAGTACCCATGACGCTTACCTCTTCCCATCAGGGTGGAAAGCAACGCTATTAATTGGCCCAAAATGGCCTTTGACCCTTCCAAACTCTTCCTCGACGCCCAGGTGGAAAAATCTAGAACCATAAGCAAGATACAGAGATAGACACCATTAGAAATGAACACTGGGCAACTCTTCAGCGTAACTTGCTTGTCTTTTGAAACCAGAGTTGGGTTTCATGGGAATGCAGCAGGAGGGTGAATCGATGTCTCATTACCAGGGGAGAAAACAAGCTCACCTGGCCTCAAACTTTCCAATTCGGGTGGAGGTGGTTGTCACATCCATGGCTTCCTGTCCACCACCTAACACCACCTGCCAGAAGAAAAATAAACTGGATGAGATCCACTCTGATGACCCGGGGCGTGACACAAAAATAACAAAGTCACAAAAGTAGAATAAATTCCCTTTAATGCCTCCAACTTGGCCCCAATGTCCAATTATCCTCAGCTGGATATCAAACTCTTAAAGAAAGTCTACTAAGGGAGTAAATGCAGTCCGAACCCAAAGTAAAGATAATTAGAAATTAAAAAAACCAACACAAACCACACTGAAGTAATTAACATGGCAGGCCAGGGTGATAAATTGCAGACTTCCAAAGGATAACGCAGCACCCAGTTGGGAGGATGTCAAAACCCAGATAAACCTCAACAAAGATAATGCACGCTTTGCTTCCAGCAAGGAGCTGTGTGCAAACACCCCACTTATATCTTGTTCTCCCAGCTGCAACTAATGAAAGGGATCAGGGCCTTTTTCTCTCCCATAAGCCACGTTGCTCCCTTCTCCATTCCTCCCTGCGTGCCCTAGGATGAAGAGGGGATGGTCCTGGGTCTTCCTCTCAATGCCATGCCGGACTGTGCCCTTCCCCTGTTTCAGCTGCTCAATCTCCCCCTCAGAATCAGACTCCAACAAGGGCGTGACATCCACTTTACATTCCTTTGATTAGGAGAGAATATACCAACAGATCAGCTTAGTGTCATGGCTTAAAATATGGTTGCCTCTCTCTAAGGAAACTTTGCTCATTTGCTGAGTTCAGAACCTTGTCATTTGATTTCCCAATGCTTTCCCATTTCCTGTACAGCAATCGAGCAGAGGTGAGAGAAGCTGCCAAGAAACAAAGCATCCAGAAGCAAACACATAAACACTTCCATCTCACAGATAAACTTATCTTTGTACACTTACCCACACAACAGTCATACAATTCTCACCATAAGGAGATCTCACAAATATATAAGGGGAATATAAGGGGGGGAGGGGAGAACCTCAACACGTTGCCCACCAACATACATGATCAAAGATGGGGGAAAGTGCTGCGGAGTTCACCGGCCGTTCTGTTCGGAATGTCTTTAGGTGGTCAAGATTCGTGGAATCGAAAAGCTGCAAGAGAAATAGATCTTTCAGGGTTTTTTGGAGGGAGGCACTAAACTTCCCCAGTATCATCTGAAAAATGCCAGTTACAGCATCAGTCCCAAGCAGCACAATACAGCCAGTTACCAGTCCTGTGAACAGCAGTTGCCCCAACAAAACACTGTTTGGAGGCTGAACAAGGCAACTAGAATAAGCCCAGGAAATCAAAAACAGAAACAAAACCAAACCCTTCCTGAGTTCCGGTGAGAGTTGAAAAATCTTGCATTCAGTAGTTGAAAAAATCTTGCATTTACAATTTGTAGGAAGGATGCCAGTATGGCAATGAGTGTTTTAAAGAAAACGTATTAAGAAATTGTCTCCAGCCAAGAGGCCCATCCTCAATTTGCTGAGCCCTAACAACTGCTCTGAAAGTCCAGTCATCTTGTGGACCAGATTTTATGGTCCTCCCACCTCTCTTTCCTTCTCCACCTCTGGAGCTGGTCAGTTTAGGCATCAGTAAAAGGTGGTTAGATATTAATGAAAATTACCACCAAAGAGCGAAATAATGATTTGACTGAGGGTTAGAGCAAAACAATTTACTATCTCAAAACTTGCAAAAGTAATAGGAAGAGCTAGCTTGTTTAAGCAACCCCTCTTCCTGGGAGAGATAACTGAAAAATGCAGGTCACTCATAGGAACCACCCTTTGCAGCAAGCAAGCAAGAGCGACTCACCTTGGCAGTGTTATCCTTGGAGGCAGTGACAAACATCGTCATATCTCTGGAAGTCTGGATGTCATTGATCTGCTTTGTATGTTCTTTGACGTTCGTGAGGACCTCTCCTGACTAGAAGAGAAGGAAGGAAAGGTATTGCTACTTTACTCCAAATTGCTTGGTCTGGTGCTGGGGTCTGCAACCTGTGGCTCCGGAGCCACACGTGGCTCTTTTGGCACTCTGCTGCAGCTCCCTATCGGCTGATCCCACCACCAGCTGGCCCCTCCCCGTCACTCCTCACCTGGCATGAGAAGGTAAGGGGGATGGTGGGGGGTGGAGACTCGCTCCCTATTCCAGAGCAGGTGGTGGCTGGGTGGGAGTGAATGACAAGTTGGCTACGCCCACCCAGTCACAACAGGTGTTAAATTATTGGCTCCCAGTGTTTACTTTTCTGTGGGAAAATGGGTCCAAATGGAGTGTTTAAGGTTGTAGACCCTGGTCTAGTGGTTAAGGCAGCAGGCTAGAAACCAGGAGATTATGAATTCTAGTCCCACCTTAGCCATGAAAGTTGGCTGGGAAACTTTTGAGTTTGTCACTCTCTCATCCCAACCATCTCACAAGGTTGTGGGGAAAATAGGAGGAGGAAGGAGTATTAGAAATCTTCACCAACGTGAGTCATTTATAAAAATAAAGGTGGGATATAAAATATATATGAATGTATGAATATGATAAAATCATGTTACATACAGAATAATCAATAAGTAGTCAATGATATTATTTCAATCCTTCTTATAACTATCAGTCAGCAAGGACCGCCAAAAGGGATGGTCTGAAGTTACATGAAATCACACCTTGAAGCTAAATTAAGCACGGCAATAATAAAGCAAGGTGCCCAGTGAGAATTCTTGGTTCAGTCCTTGAATCCCACATTGGGTAAGCATCATCTAAGATATCCAGAGTAAAAAGAAATATTGGCAGGATTATCATCTTTTTTTTTTTTTTTTTGAAGAATACAGAAGACTCAGCGGAGAGATTGCCACCTTGCTTAAAGTCAACAAAAGGCAAATCAAGTTACACTTAATAAAGCTGTAAGGGACCTTGGAGATCTTCTAGTCCAACCCCCTGTTCAAGTATGAGACCCTATACCAAGGGTGTCAAACTTGCAGCCCAGGTTTATCACCCACTGGCCACAACCACACCCAGTTTAGTGAAGCCCCCCCCCCCAAATTGCAATATGTCACGTGACACCGCGATGACGACACAAATTTGACACCCCTGCCCCATACCATTCTGGACAAATGGTTACTTTTAGTTACTATTCTCCAGGAGCCATTTGGGTATTCCCAAGAGTAGCCCTGGAGGTAAAAAGCAGAAACTAGAGAGAAATGAAGACAACCAGAAGCTGCAAATGACACCCAATCATTTAACAACACCAAACTTCTTTTGAATCGTTTATTTTTCACAGGCAAATTTATCAAAGTAGAATCAAAGACCTGTTTGAATTTGAAAATGCCCTTTACCCATGAAGCTTGTTTGAACAAGATGGATGGCCTAGGGAAGGGTCCCCTCTCAGAATTAAGTCCCCCTTTGGTTTCAAGTTGGCTGGACTCATCAGACAAGAGTCTAAGACTGGGAGATAAGATGACTGTGTCACCATTAATCGCTAAGGGCTCTTGCAAGGCTCTCATCTGCGGAACAACGCTCTGGATAAAATTGAGCTTTAGAGAATAGATGAGTTAGTTGTTGATGTACGACTCTCCCTACTCCTTAGCAACGCCCCTTCCTGATCTGCTGGATTTCATGACCAGAGACCCGAAGATTTTTTTTACTTCTTGGGAATTTCAATTTGCTGCCTAGTGATATTGAGTCCGGGAAGTTCAGGAGACCATGGCCTGCATGGCAACTACTGACTTATTCCAGGTCAGGGAAGGCCCGATATATTCCAGGAGTTGAAATCTATATTTTGTCTATGGGTGGTTGCAATGTGATTTGGCACAGGAAGCTACTGTCATCAGTTCGCTGCCACTGAATTACTTCCCAACTCTTTACGTCACCCTATCACAACCACCATCTGGGAAGATATAGTGGCCATTTAATCATCCCAGGCAATTAATAAATGAAACACGGGATGTTCACTGTAGATCTGGTGGACAGCTCAGCTGAGGGGCTCTTCCTGCCGCTCCAAGAACAGGTGACACAACCCATGAGGGATTTGGTTCAGCTCTTCATTATACCAGTTGTATCCCTCCCTGGATTGGAAGGCCCTCCAGTCACTTATGCTCTGATCACCTTATAATTAGACTATACCAGGGGTTTCAAAACTCGCGGTCCCTGGGCCGAATGTGACCCACGCCTG